TTTTAAATGAAACATGGAGTTTTTTTGTTTTTTTTTTTACTTAAGCCCCTTAAAAAGTTAAAATAAAATAAAAATTGATATTTAAAATTTGATATTTTTATTTAAGGCTGAGATATCACTAAAAGATTCATTGTTTATTGTGGGAAAATATTCAAAAATATTATTTTAAGCAGTTAAATAAGATGGTGAAAATTAACGGTCATAAAGATAAAGGACTATAAAGGGTTAAGAAAACACCTAACACCAGAATTTACTTTCATAGCATACATCATCTTTTTTTTTGCAATATTTTCTTCCAAAAGCTTTGATTTTGACAGTCAAGAAACAGGCTGACAGTCAACTTTACTTTGAAATGCTGCATTTCAAGTCAGGCTCAATGAATTTAATTTGCATCATTTCACATAAATTGTTGTTGAGCAAATTCAACCATTCACTTGAAAAGATTATAAGAAACTTTTTTATTTGAGGTATACTTATGCAGACAGGAACATGACTGTTAGTTTCTTTAAGGCAGCAGAAGTGATACAAATATTTTATTATGATCAAAACAACTCATTAAATAAAAATAATAATAATAATATTGGTCACATCATAAAACGTTTACTTTTTAGAGCCACCAATATTCTATATTTAAAATAGACTTCCCTGAATGAAAGCTGCACAGGATCCATATCTCTATATGCTCATTAAAAGCATACAATAACTTATTATTTTAAAAAGTAATTAAATATAAAATATCTTTCTCAGTTCAGTAGTTTTCTGAAGTCATGTCTCCATACACTCACACAACCGTAGAAATATGTGTTTGTTGATGAGGCTACAAAGAAGCTACAATTTCTGAATACTACAAAATAAAAACTAAGCCAGCAGTAAGTTTATCAAGTAGTGCAAAACCAGGAAGTCTTTCAAAACAAACAGAATTTGAAACATCCCAGGAATGATCAAAATTAAACCTCTAACAGTGTACACTTTAAAAACGTTGTGTCGTTCCATATTAAGATCCATTTAGTCTAAACCTATGCTAAGAAAAGTACTGGCTGTGATACAAGTACATACTTTAATTCAGTGTTTGAAAAAAAATAGACGATTTAACAACTTTAAAAACGGACTGTCCATTTTAAAAACTCAACTTTAAACAGTTTCATTCTCACACCTTTTGGTTTCAATCAGAGCTCTGTCATCATCAATCACCAAAGTTATAAATCATTTGTCATCAGAGCCTTTAAATGTTTTCTTTTATCTTGATAAAAATAGAACAGAGCAGTTGTCTGGCATGACTGGCTGCAAAAGGTCTTAAATATAAAGATGGCTGATGGTTCATCCCAAGCCCGACCTCTGTCCAACATCCAATCAGATGGTTTAGCTACACAAACTGGATTTAAAAAATACGATAACTAACAACCAGTAAAACTATTTCTAACCCAAAAAGGGACTTGTTGTGAACCCAATCCTAAATCTGACACTGAACTCAAATTAACTGATGATCCAGAGAGTCGGACCCAGATTTTGCCTCATGGTTGCAGGCACTGAAAAGTGAAGGCGAACAATTTTATATTTGCTGTGCATGTTAGCCAAATATCTGCTGAACTAAAGAACAAATGTTATTAAAACTACAAAAAAACTACAGTACACCTCATGGTTAAGTTTACACCTCATGGTTAAGTTAACCATGAGGTGTACTGTTTATCAACGACTGATTAACCTTTGGAGTCGGCCTAATCCAAGATGTCTGCCATGGCCAACTGAACGTATAAAACACAAACAACAGTTATACGATGCTAACCAAAGGTTTGGTGTAGTAGTAGCTGATAGAGGGCTAAACCCACACACTGAGCGTTAGCAGATTAAAGTTCTTTGATTAAAATTTTACCAATATCTGCTTAATTGTGTTTGTTAGCAAAATATAACGTGAACCAATGGACAGATTGCATTGAAACTTTCAGGAAGTAGCCATTGGATGCTTATATCTGTTAGCCTTTTAGAGCCACGCCATTCAAAATGGCTACCACAACCACCTGAGAAGACATACAGAGGGCCATAATCCAGTCAGTTTTAGATATTGAGCTAAAAGTTGGTGTGTTTTTCTAGTTGAGAATTATTTTAAAAACATTCTCCTTCTGTAACTTATTGCTTGATATATTTCCTTAAAACTTAAGCTTCAATATTTGGAATCAAAATGTCTGTTAGCAAAATATCTCAGGAACCACCAAACACATTTTAATGAAACAGAACATTATTGCTGAAGGTATATTTTCAAGTGATTATAGCTGCCGCAGCTAACTGATACCAGAGAACCCAAACAGGTTTTAACAGTGTCAGTTTTACAGATATTGAGCTAACATCAGGAGTGGTCGTAGGTTAGAGTCATTCACATTGCATACCTTGAGCATGAAATATCATATTACATCATGACCTTATTTTCAAGGATGATGTCAGGCCATTAAATGTTTCGTTATTAGCTGTTCTCATCCCCATACGTATCGTTCAGAGTGTCCCTCCTACCTCCTAGTAGGTTTAAAGGTACGCTATTATTGCTGATAATATGCATTGTCACACCCTGGTAAACCAGGAAGTGTTTTCTCGTTTTTTTGAGCTTATGTAACCCTTTTCCTAAACTTAACCTTACACCTGACCCAGAGCACTGATCCTAAACTTAACCGTTACCCTTGTGTCTAAACCTAAACCAGATCCTAAACCCCAGACCCTTTACTCTGAACTTAACCACGTGAGCCTATTATCAGTGCTAACAACGTACTGTCAAACCCACTAGTAGGTACAGAAGGGGGAGTCTGAACGCTACATATGGGGATGATAACGTCCATTTAATGGCTGATAACATTCGAAACAGGTGCCAAAACAGCAAAAACCGAGTTCTTTCTAGCCCTTGAAATGCCTTTCATTAAAGGACCATAAACCAAGTCTTATCTGTCAAAATAAGTCATACCATTATATGTCTTGACCACCATATAGTTTCAAAACTACATTTGTCTTTTCAAATTGTTTTACATTCAACATGACACATGTCTGCCACCCCCCCTCCAACCCCCCACCCCCAATAAAAAAATAAAACAGACTGTTCATCAACACAACCAGTTCTGAGTCTTGTTCAGACCAAAGTTTCATCTAAACACTTTGATGTTTGTTACGAGTTGATCCACAACCAAAACCCAGTGAGTGAATGAATAAACATACAGTTTGTATTGTCAGACAATTAAAAACATATTTTTCTCCACAACATGTAAATCTAAAATGTCTGGTGAAATGAACTGATGCAGTTACATTTAAAGAAAGAAAAATCTCCAAGGTCATTAAAATAACTTAAATCAGACTAAACTAACTGAGCTTTCCTGGAAAAACGTTGACAGGGATTGCCACGTGGAGGCCAATAAACACTTCTGTTTTTACATTACTCTGTGTTGGGGTTCACACTCAGCTACCACCAAAACAAATTTCAGCTCAATATGGAAAAAAAAATAAATAAATAAAAATAAAAATCAATGAGTCAGTCAGATTTTCTTGCAAGCTTGGTGGCCATCTTGAATTTTTAATTTGGATTCAGTATGTGATGGGGAACATTCTCAGCTAGGAACAAACCAAATTTCAGCTCAATATCTCAAAGAATATAGTCAATTTTGAGTTTTCTAAGGTAGATGTGGCAGCCATCTTGAACCAAAATGATACAAAAATTATTCAGTGTTGTTCTCAGACTTCTTCTGTCTAGGTCATATGACCTCACTGTGGTAGTTAGAGGCTGGTAAAAGCTCTGTCGGGCATTATGAATTACAAAAATGGAGTCTTTGTTTGTAAATTACATCACCATGGTAACTCGAAACGCCAAATAAAGTACACATCATGGCAATGAGCCAGTCGTTTTGATGTAAAACTTATATGGGTATATATTGCAGTTCCACATTAAAACTGATAGAAGAGCAAGAGCCTTTTAAGACAAGAGATAAGATAAAACTGTATTGATCCCGCAGGAAACGGTTGAAATTGTTCTCAGGTGGATGAAGGCAGTCCCCAGTGAAAGAAAAAATCTGCTGATAAACAATTAATGAAAACTGTTTTTAAATTGTGATTTTACGAGAACAGTATAAAGTTATGTAAAAATGAAAATGATTTACCCTCTAGAAAGACTGACTTTAATTTGACCACAGTTGAAATAAAGGTGCATCCTGTCATCATAATCCTGATTCTCAACTCACAATAATCTCAGGATTAAAGGTCCATGAGGCTGTTTGCAATGTGGCAAGAGGAGGAGACAGAACGCAGCATCCATCGTTGTTGGAGGAAGACACGATGTCATAAACAGACAGTTGTCTAAATGTTTCTTAAAAAGCAAAAATCCAAGAAACTAAAGCTTTGAGGCAAGTCTTGTGTTTCCAGATGCATAATTAAACATAAAAAGCGAAACACATACGTGAACATGAAGGAGGTCATGTTCTGCATGTTGGATATGGTTACAATGAAATATGCAGAAAATGTGAGAATGTGCTGCAAAGTGTGAGAAAAGTTGGAGGTTCTGTGTTCTCAAACAGGGAACTGACCCAAAACAAAGAGCGAAAACATCCAAGAATGCTCAAAACCAAACAATGGACTGTTCTGAAGTAGTCCTCTGAGCCCTGGTGTGTGGTGAACATGTTGGAACTGTTTGCACACAAAATGTGGTCCAGAACAGCAGGACAGGAGCCTTGGAAAGAAAACGTTCTTGATACAGTGACGGACCCAGAAGGTTCTGGATGCATTAAGTCAAGACCATCTTTGTTGTCAGGTCAGTTTCATTTATTTGTTTTCAGTAAGGTAATAGGGTGCAATGTCTGACCTTCAGTTGACCTTCAGTTTACTTTTAGTAAATGTCCTCCTTGTTTATTTTGTTTAAAGCTATTTCAGGTCTTTAATTTTACAAAAAATAAAGCATTAAAAAAAAAAAATAATTCTACAAACCAGTAGAACACATAAGGTGTGTGAGAAGAGATGGGCCACCCAAAACCTTCCTGAAGTTACGTCTCTGAGCTCGGGGACGCGCCTGGAGACGTGGACACGGACGAGTGGTCCGTGTCCTCCAGCTCCTTCACGAAGCAGCCGCCAGTCTCAGAGGCCGAGGAGCGCGTTGTGGTGCACGCGCCCTCCCGCTCGCGCTTCTTCTGCTTCATGCGTCTGTTCTGGAACCAGATCTTCACCTGCGTCTCATTGAGCTCGAGCGTCGCCGCGATCTCCACGCGCCGCGCGCGCGTCAGATACTTGCTGAAGTGGAACTCCTTCTCCAGCTCGGTCAGCTGCCGCGTACTGAAGTTGGTGCGGATCACGTTGCTGTTGTTGCCAGACAGGCCAAAGTCTGCTATTTTCACTGAGGACAGAACAGACAGGACGGGTTAATTAAAGCTGAAGTGAGTGTGCGCGTGAACGCGCGGACACATTTCAGCTCAGTTTGTTTTTGTTTGCACGCTTTAATTATTGTTTTATGTCAGAGACGTTTGCACCACTTCAACAAATAATTGTTAAAGTCGTTAAACTCCAGATTTATCGTGATAAAAAGGCAAAAGTTGGGGGGGGGAGGGGGGAGGGGGGCAGGCGGTGCGCATGGGGGAGAGTAGAGGTAAAAGACAGGCAGACTTCCCATGGAGCCAAAAATAAATAAATAAATAAAAAAAAGAAGAAAAAGAAAACCTACATTCATTAAGAGCTCAGGTGTCAGAGACCAGAGTTGAACCAGGCCAGGCAAGTCCAGACTAAACTGAACCAGGTCCAGGCCCACTTTACATATCCCCCCCACGTGTACCCAAACTGTGAGCTGTTGTTTTAATAAGATGTTCAAGTTTGGAATCAGAAATTTAACATTGTTGCACATGCTATCATTATAAAAACAATAATTATTCATGATTTATTTATTTATTTGGTTAATTGGGATCTTATCTATGACCCATAAAAAGTTCAGTTTGATAATATTAAAACAGGACAGACTCCCTGATCATTTTGATTTTTTTATCATGCTCTAAACTAGTGGACGTCAGAACATGAAAATAAAATATTCAAAGTGCTGCTTTGTGCTCAAACTGATCTCACTTCATAACTAAATGGTTCATTTATTCACCAAATTAAATAATGAAAGAAATGGAGGAGACCAGGTACAGATAATTAGCAGATTTTTGTAAATACTATTTTATTTGACTGTTTTTGCTGCTCAGAGTGATAATAATAATGTCTGAAGCCTTTTGAAATCCTCCTGTTTATCACCGTTATTTATTATTAGCAATTAATTAATTTATATTTTTAGCTTCTCCACAGTTTGAATCTGTAAAACACGTTTGTGGCCAGTTTTCTGTCAGCGCGTGTCAGAGGCCTCCGTGTGTCCACATCATAATGTGACACCTGATCTCATGGTTCTGTCTCATGATCTGGTGTCCCACCTGGCGGCTGTATTCACACCTGTCTTTGGAGGATTCCTCTTCACCTTCATCCAGTCGAAGGTCTGCCCCTGTCCGGTTTGCAAACCATCCTCACCCCCCCTCTCTCGCTCCTGGGACACAGACAGTTCTACATATCCTCCCGCATGAAGCCCTTGGTAGCCCCCTGCGTCCGGACCCCCGCCGATCTGATGTGAGAACTGTGAGGTGCTGAGCGCGCCCTGGGGCCCGCAGTAGGCCTCGGGGAGCGCGTTATAGCTGGCCCCCACCGCTGGGGCCGAGCTGTGGAAGGACGGCTGGTGATAGTAAGAGGAAGCCGCGGCCTCCTCCATGAAATACTGCGGCTGGATGGAGTTTGAGGGGCCCATCACGGAGATGTACTCGGAGCTCGTAGCGCAGGCATGACCCACATAGTCCCCTGCGCTGCCCCCACCCCCATTAGAGTAAGAAGACAACAATCCACTTTGTAAGCTTTGGTTCTGCTGGAGGTTGGAATGAGGTTGGAAGCCACTGGGTGCGTACTGGTGCTGCTCAAAACGATTGGACTGATGCTGATTATACTGACTCCCTCCTCTGGACTCGTGCGTCGCTCCAATGTCCGCTCTGGTGTTCCCGTACACCCCTCCATCTGCGCTGTACCCGCTGTCACCCCCGGGTCCCGCGACAGAGGAGCCGGGGAGGCCCGCGGGAAGTGAGCTGGAGGTCACCGACAGGGCATGGTGCTGGTCCAGAGCGAGGTGCACGTGATGGTGGTGGTAAGCAGGCTTCGGCGCAGGATACGCGCCGGTTCTAGGCCGGTTACAGATGGAGTACTCCACAAACGAGTTCATGTTGTCCATGCAGACCCGAGGCACCGCGGGAGAACCAGAAACAAGCTCAGAACGGAAACCAGTCAAAACAAAATCTAATTAATCCATTTCAAATGTAAAACGCCTCAAATGAAGGCAGAATAAAAAAAAAAAAAACCTTCCAAAATAAAAACCTCCCAAAGCTTCCAAAATGATTAGGGTCTTTTATCTTTGATAAATGTTGCGGAAGCTTCCAGTTAGATACAAAGTGAAACTTCACGTTTCAAAAATCCACAGCCCACATAAAAAAAAACTCGACCCACGGGGGCTGTAAAGCACGCGAGAGGACAGGTGCGTCGTGTTTACAGTCTGCAGACATTCTGTACTTTTCTCCCAACTCTTTCCTCCATCTCCTTTGTTTCACTACTTTTTCCTCATCTTTTCTTCTCACCTCTGCCGCGGGTCACGTGACTCGCCGCTTATGGTGACCACGGCAGAAGTTGTCAGCTGGTCCCAGGATCAAGACAAACAGTGTGTGTGTGTGTGTAGGTGTGTGTGTGTGTGTGTGTGTGTGTGTGCTCGCGCGCAAGAGGAGGGGTGGGATGAGGGGCTTCTTTTCGGTTCAGGAGTGCAGTAGTTTACGCGCGCGCTGCTGATCGCTCACGCGCGTCATCCATCACTCGCGGTGACATTAGCACGACAAAAAGGCTTCAATCAAACGGGCCCATCAATCTGATATCAGCACGGATCTGTCAGAGCAAAGAGAGGGCCGCAGAATAAAAGAAGAGCTGGGAGCCGGTTCGCAGACCCCCTCCCAGAGAAAATACTCCCCCAAAAGAACCAAAAAGTCTATTTTTACTCCAACACAGATACAGGACGATCAGTGGATCTCCAACAAAATGCTCCCATGGGTTCATGTGCTGCTGCTGATTAAAGTAAAAGAGAATATTTGTAATAAAATCCGTCCATTTTAATTGTTTTAGACACTTTGAGTCCAATCATTAAATTAAAATGCATTAAATCGTTAAAGTCAGTTCATTTTCAGGGAGCTGAGTTGAAGATTCTTTCAAATCATTCACCAAAAAAATAAAAATAAACTTCAAGGACAATCTGGTTTCAGGAGAAGATTCACACCATTACAGTCGCATGCTAAAAATGCAAACCAAAACATGTGAACATGTCTAAATATGTTGATGAAGATAAGCTCACTAAAACTGTCAGAGAAAAGGACAAGAAGACAGTTTGTCTCAGCCTTTAGTTTGGTCTGAGGTGTAAAATAAAAGAGTGCAGGTTTCAGTTCACATCAAAATCTAAAATTCACTCTGAAGAAATGATGGAGGAAAAAGGCACGTAAACTGAATAGTAAAATGTGTGAATAGTCCAGTTGTTGTTATATATCAGGGCCTCTCCAACAGACCATGTGACTGATAAATGCAGACAACTGATTCAAGAGCATCTTCCTTTTATTTTCTCCAAATAAGCTTAAGTAATCTTTTTTTAATCACTTTTTTTAATAATTAGTAAAACCTGAGTCTTACCAGTGATGTTTGCTTTCTGCCACAGAGCATTAAAAAAAATACTCAAATGGACTAAAAATACTAGAACTCTCCTCCATATCAACGTTTCTGTGACTTGCTGTGAAATTATTCTTTATAATAACCAGAAAAAAACTTTGTTGGAGTCAAAGTGGGTTCAAGTGTCAAATCTTACTGCAACTGCTCCAACAATTTTGTGCTTTAAAGAAGTATTTAAACACAACTTACTATTTTAATTAGACCAACATTTGCCTGTTTGATGAATAACTTTAAACTAAACTCCTGAGCTGGAGAATAAGTCTGACCTGCTGCGTATCTGCTGCTGAATTTACCTTTGTAGAAAATCCAAAGGATCGTGAATTATTAAATGGTAAATGGACTGTACTTATATAGCACAGTTCTATCTTATTTCAAGATACTCAAAGCGCTTTACACTACAATCTGTGTCTCATTTACCCATTCATACGGCACTCTACTAGATCTCTACAAAGCTAATTGAACAAATCATTCTAAAGAGACTAATCAGTGCTTTAGATCACATTCATACACTGATGGGACACACATCAGAGGCTATGAGGGGTTCATTGTCTTGCCCAGGGACACGTAGGCATGTGAGTGCTGGTGGATTTGAACTCCCAACTCTTGCATTGGAGGACGACTGCTCTAACCACTCAGCCACAGCCACCAGGTAATAAATGAAATATACAGGATGACATCCATATATCCATCCATCCATCCATTTGTCCATCCATGCATTCATAAATACATACGTTGGATGGACGGATGGATATTGATCATCATCATCATTGCTCATCCATCCATCCATCCATTTGTCCATCCATGCATCCATAAATACATACATACAACATACATACATACAACATTGGATGGATGAATGGATGGATGGATGATGGATCAATATCCATCCATCCATCTGTCCATCAATCCGTTCATTTTCTTAACTCGCTTCTCTTTTTGCAGATTGCAGGGAGCTGGCTCTTATCTCCAGCAGTCACTGCGAAAGGTGGGGATACCCTGGACAGAATATGAGTTCATCACAGGGACACATAAAGACAAACTAGACAAGCAGCTATTCACTCTCTCACTCACACCTAGAGATTATTTCATAAACAGTTCAAGTCCGTTCATTTACATAGCACCAAGGCACAACAGAAGTTGTCTCAGGCCATTAAACAGAAACATTCACAAACATTAAAAAACCATTTAGCAAAAGTTCTCTATCTAAAAAGCAGCAGATTGTGTTGAATCTTCACTTAGTCACAGTCTCCCATCCTGAGCAAGCACAAAGGGGACAGTGGAAAGGAAAAACTCATTTTTAACAGGAAGAAACCTCCAGCAGAACCAGTCTCAGGACAAGCAGCCATCTGCTTCAATTGGCTGGGTTTGAGAGGACAGAAAGAAACAAACACATAGTGGCATGTCCAGATTCCTGTATGAGGAAAGAAAACAAATACATATTTTACCAGTTAATCTAACATACATGTTTTTGGTCAGTGGGGGAAAAACCCACTCGTGGAGAGAACATAGTATCTCCACACAGAAATGTCCTAGGCCAGATACAAGTCCTTCCCACTGTGAGTCGACAGCTCTACACACTGCATCAACGTGTCGATATGGCTTACAGTCATTAATAGAACAAGGATGAATTCTTGTAATATTCCATGAGCTGCACTACAAAAACATTTTCAAGGTTAAACCGAAGTGGCTAAAAGTCTGTTTATTCTCATCTCAAGATTAGCTTAGTTTGCCTTTACCCTATCATCTACTTTTCCCCAATTTGACTTTATCTTATGTTTGCACATTCACTTTTCAGAATGGTAGAGATCTTTCCAGACTCAAAGGGGTGCATTGATCAAACAGTCCTATCCCAAGCAGGAACCTGAGGGAACGTGTTTACTTTTCAACAATTAGTTTGGGCAGCCATGGATTTCTGGTGGGTGGATGTGTGTGTACACCAGTGTGAGTGTATGCTAATTAAATGAGTGAGCTGATCTGTTACACCAATGAAGTTAGTTAGACAGGAAGCCTTCTGGTTGGCCTGTCAGACAGGAAGCTGGAACAACAGAATATGCTGTCTGTGAGTCTGTGGGTCTACAACAATGATCTGCCATTGTGTAGCAGGCTGAAGTTTAACCACATTTTCTCTTGCCTGCTTCAAATGTTCTGTAATGTTCTGTCCTATACCTTATTGTTAATATAAGCATTTCCTGATGATCGCTTCCAATGATGCCGCCACCAGTTTCTGTGTTGCAGGACCCTTCTGACGCACATGACAGCAAAATTACTGCCGTCCTGTCATCCTGTCGCCAGGACAAAATCTGGACACGCAGTGTGGGCGAACGACAAGAAAGGAGGTTAATTATCAGTGAGGGTTGAAAGAATAGAGAAGTAGTGTGAGTGGGCTGGAAGTCTGCAGGAACAGACCTGAACAAGAAGATTAAATCACGCCCACATGCCTGTCTGAGTGCTGGAGGGACAACAGGAGAGTCAGGTTGCAGGTCAGAGTGTTGTGTTACTGTCATAATTCTGTTTGTGTACTGTGTGTTTGATTAGTTTGTGACTGTCTTATTGACAAATAAATCCTCGGGGCTTTATACATTAGCTGTATGAAGAGCTCAGATCATGGAACAAGTCGTTCCATCCATGATGTGGTCAGCATTTTTGTAACGCAGATTAGATCTGGTGACAGTCCTGAACTGGATTGTTTGACTTTATAGATGTACATTCAGTGACTACTTCCAAAAAGTTTCCTTTAAATTTGTCAACGGTTCAGGAAATATTTTGCCAATGGTAAAACAGTGTTGATGACAACAGCTGCAAAAAGTTTGTCTAGTGCAGAAACTGGTGCCATCAGAAACTGAATTTGAATTGCTCAGACTGAATCTGTATTCACGTAACTTGAAATCAAATCCACTGGTTTGAAAACAAATTTAATTTAATTTAATTGTTTGAAACTGAATTAATTTGCTTTGAAACTGTATTTTGTTGGAATGAAAAGTCAATTTTACTACTTTAATTTTCAGTCCTAGAATTCAATTTCAATTCCAAAATTCATTTTTTTGTGTCACACATCCGGGTCATTGAGAAAGCCATGGCATAATATGGCGCAGATTGACATATTTATGTTTCATGCCAGTGAAACTTCCTTTACGGAAATGAAGGTGTGGAGTTCAGTCTCAGGCAGCGGTGATGCAATAGAGGGTGGCTCGGGGTGGCTGCATGTTGGAGCAGCTCTGTCACATTCATTCTGAGATTTTGCTTTTGGAAACTTTAATTCTTCTGGATGTAAATCACTTTCTTTTGGAAAATTGTTTCCTCTGGTGTCAGATTCTGTGCAGCTGGAAGGATTTTTACTGAAACTTTTCTACTTTTGGACATTTGTTATGATGCATAACCATAACAACAAGGTGTTTTTCTTACAAATGGGAGCAGCTGATTAACACCTCAAAAGCTTAAATGATATCTCAACTTCATCCTCAAATCTCAAAGGAGCTG